CGTTAACTATAAAGGACAGTTTCCTTAACATATTAAAGTTAGATATCAAGGTGAGAGCTTAGATAGGAATTCCTTAGTTCACGTTTCTTCCTCTAATGAAATTTTTTATTGCCAATGTATATCATGTTTACTATTTTCAATCTACCGTCAACTGAAAAGTAAGCTACAGTTATTTTACAAGGAAATGTTGTTTTAGCAAAGAGACAGTTTGTGAAAATGGGCATTGTGTGCAATTATATATTAGAAAAGAAACCATTTGCCGGTGTAGTGTGAGAAGCTAGAAAAAGAAAAAAAAATTGTCATGCTGTGAATTGATTCAGTAGATCACAAATCGTACGGCAGTGTGAGAATCAGCGAAATGGCGAAATAAAAAACAGAGGTTCGACTCGCTATTACCTGGAATCCTATTTAGCAGAGTTCATCTCAGGCACCAAATCAACAGCGATATTGTGTTTTATATAGGCATAATTAGCAGTAACTGATAAAAATTTCCAAAATGTATGTTATTTTTTTAATAAAATACTGACGAAAGTGTATCTATAATAAATTAAATACTTTAAAATTGATGATTTTGTTCGAAAATAACGACCATAATGAGCATTTTGCAATGGAAAACCACTATATTGAGAAAATGCAGTAACAGTTGTTTCTCACATATGCACAAATTGTTAAGCTTTTGTTTCTAGCCAACGTTGAAAGGCTCCAAATCAACATTCTCGTCTAGCCTTGGAACGTTAAAATTTTGTATATGGGACTGCTATAACATGTTTTTGTGCACCTCCCTTTTTCGTAGCAATCGGCCGCACCAAACTTGTATATGTACTACGTATATATATTCTCACTCTACACCCGGCTAGGTGGGCTCAATATTTTTATTCTTATATGTTCTTAAACAGTGCATTTTTTGCTTTAAAAGTGGTTGAATTATGTTGCATTTAAGTTCCGGTTAAGGTTTCTATACTTATAGTTAATTTACATACTAATAGTTCTAGAATTATCACCAATTTAAAAGTTTAAATGGCGCTAGGTCTAACGAGGCTAACATTTGTTTGCATTTAAAATTCTTACTAGTATAGTGATTTAAATCAGTTGATGCGCCAACTTCAGTATCCTTTTGCACAGTGGGACAGAGAGTTAACTTTAAATTTTGTCTATCTACCATTCGGCCGAATTGTTTGTTTTTGCGTAGAAATTCTAATTGGAAATATAAAAATTGTTTATTTAATTGTTTTTAATTGATTAAAGCTTTGGCTTCTTCCATCTTTCTCCTACTCTGTTAAATATTTTCCCTGTAAAATCTGAGAATATCAAATGTCTGCCTGTATAGTTTGAAACGATATCCAAACTACATAGTATGTATTTACACCTCCAAATAAGGGCATCGCTTAGAATTGAAAATCTAATTCAATGTTTCCTTAATATTTTAGACTTTGACAATCAACTTGATTGCAACTTAAAATAAAGTCACTTTCAGCTTGAATAAAAAATCATTTACAAAAGGGTTAGAGCAGTTTGCATTTAAAGAAAAGGAAATTATATAATGTAGCATAAATAAAAAGCAAAGAATTTGATTATTTCGATTTAATAGAATTAAGACTATGACTGATTGTAGAGACTTTGAATTAAAGGACAAACTGCAATTTTCCGTAAAGCGAAACTTGAACCACCAATTTTTTTAATCCAAGGTTATGCAACGAAAAGAATTCTTAAAATTGGGCAAATCTCGATAGAAAGTCTCTGCTAACTAAAATAATTTTATTTGTTATACTTACAAGAATTTAGTTGTTAAGATTAGTTTCATGTACAGGAATTTAGTTGTTATCATTAGTTTCATGTACAGGAATTTAGTTGTTGACATTAACCCAATAGCTTTCTTTTTGAGGTCGTAGAATCCACTGTATTCGTTTTACCCAAATCTGTTTAAAGTTCACGTAAGTGCAGATGCAATTTTACTGAAAAGTTACGGAAGCATTTCCGATTTAAAAAAATTAAAATTATTAGAAGTTAACCAATATATAAAATAGCTGCAAATTCTCATTTAGAACTAAATAATGTTAAAAAAAGTGTGGTTTGTATATCAGTGTGAAATGAAAATTGAAACTTTGAATATGTTATTGTTGCAAGAATAGAGATAACTTATTTATTTTAAAAGCAATTACTTCCAACTTTCTATAGCTCACTACATAATATAGCTGCTTTAGGAACTAGTAACCAGAAAGATTGTGTTGCCACAAATATTCTTAGTCCAAATGGGCTTTGCGCCTGAAGGACGGACTATTGTTTTCGTTTTGCGCTTTTGCGTTGAAAATTTAAAAGGCTGTATCACTTTTCAAATTGTTGCCACCAAATACTATCGCCCTGTATTATATTTGAAGAAATGAAATAATGAAGAATCTGCATAAATGTATGTATGTTTTCGCATTGTGATAAAACAACGGTACCTAGAGCCATCTAATTTTGAATGACGCAATCATGCGAAAATGGGCATCTGAAAGCCGAAATTTTAAATTTGGAATTTGTTTTATTATCGATTTCATATTTTGTAAAACTTTAACGAATTCTTGATTAAAAAACTCAAAGATTTAAAAGCGAGCAGCGGCAACACTCTACGGGTAAAAAAAAAAAAAAAAAAAAAAAAAAAAAAAAAAAAAAAAAAAAAAAAAAAAAAAAAAAAACTTTTTATTTTCAGCGGGCGGAACTGTGTATCGGAAATCCTTAAGTTATGCTCCTTTTAAAATTATTTTGCGACATTGCTGTTGAACTGAATTTTATCGTTTAAGTGCAAGGAGCATGATATTTAATAAATAAAGGTAAAACACAAAACATTAAAAAAACGCCCCTTTGGAAGTAATTTAAAATCTGAAAGCTTTCAGAATTATTTTTTTTAATAACTTAATCTGATTCGTGACGAAAGTTTCTATGCGTTCACGTCATGTTTCCACCTTGCGCGTATAATATTTTAAAAATGGGTAATTGCACATACTTGAAATTTGACGGAATTCTTTATATGGGCACTATCTTCTGACTGAACCAAAAATCTGATGAATATTTTAATTTTAAAAGATACATTTATACATGAATGAATTTCAGATTTCTTAATAAAATACGTTTTATAAAGTGAACTCCAAATAAAATAGGAATTTAACATGAAATTCTTAGAATTTTTGGTTCATAGTAGTTTTCAAATGTTATAAAAGCTATATATTAAGTATGGAATTAAATTATGCGACAGAATGTTTTAAACTGCGTGCGCAAGTTGGAAGCATGGCATGAACGGCTAAAATTCCATAAGCGGGGTAAGTTGGCGCCAAACTATTTTGGCCTTCAAAATTTGGCGAATTTTTTAGGCGCATTAAATGAAAGCACTAAAATGTGATTTTTAAACGTCAACAGAATAGTAACTTTTAAGTTTTGCAATAGTGAAACGCGTTATTTTATGTAAACAGAATAGTAAAATGAGATGATAAAATACTAGATGAGTAAAACAAAGTCCAACAGCTTTGAAAGTAAAAGCATAGTCCTATATATATGTAATTCATCATAAAATAGTAGAATGAAAAATTCTTGTAAATAATAATTGAGTAAATAAATGTATACACTTATCAGATCAGAGCACTGCGAAGTCAGTTTTAAACGTAAACAGAATAGCAAATGCAAATTATGCGTATTCAGCATCAAAACTAACTAAAATATTCAAGTTACTATCGTCGTGGAATTCAACACACTAAACAATTTTCGTTCAAATCTTTAAATATTCCACATCTTTCGATTGCCACATGCAAGAAACAAAACTAAAAAAAATTAACTAAATAAAATTAAATGAAAAATTCATAAATTATAAATTTCATGTCATATGAAATCCAACATTCTCCCACCAACAACAGCTTAACCTTCTGCAAATATTTATATAAATAAAATATTAAACATATATATAACAATAATATTAAACAGTAAAAACTTTTAAAAACAAACACAATATTTCAAAATTAAATTTAAAAAAAAAAATCTGGCTACACTAAATTCGCGCTCTTACAGTTATCGAAATAAAGCTCTAGGTTTGCCACAAGAAAATTTACATCCGGAAACCACAACCAAATTAAAAATTCTCGCCAGGCTTGGCGATCACCCCGATTATGGAATTTTAACCACATGAACGCATAAAAAATTCTGTCACAAAGCAGATTAAATTAAAAAATATTTGTCGCAACACAAACTTTCTGGTTAATAGTTCCCAAAGTAGCTATGTTATGTAGTGAGCTGTAAAAAGTTTGAAGTAATTGCTTTTAAAATAAATAAGTTATCCCGATTCTTGCAACAGTAACATATTTGAAGATCTTAAGTGTTTTAAGGTGTACGAGCCACCTCAAAATTTCGTTACGTTCACCATTGGCATTAAAAATCCTGTATTTAGGAATTTATTTTGCATTTTCTATATAGTATTACAGCTACATTTTTTACTGTTATGTATTTCTCAATAGGTAGATTCATACATACATACACTCACACACGCATGTGATGTAACAGACCTATTTAAGTGTAATTGAACTATTTTATTCATGTCATGAACTGTAACCGAACTATTTTATTTAAACGCCATCTCGTGGCGATATGAAAAAACGTCAGTCGACCTCCAGCCGCCATGATGATAGCTTACTATGCTATGTTATTCTCAATGTTTGATGTTCCATTTCGTTTATGTTTCATTTTTATATATATTTCTTTTGTTTGTAACCGTTCCTGTGTGCTATGTTAATAAATCCTTTTAAAGCTAGCCGGCATTTGTGTCTATTGAGGAACGGCTACATCACATTATATATATTAAAAAAATAGAGATTTCAGTTTTGAAAGACCGTCCTTGTTAGCTTAACAAAGAAAACATATCTGCACCCAACATTCCTTGATCTTAAACATCATTAAATAATTTTGCTTTTATCTATTAGCTCAGAACCAATATTTGTTATAAGGATAGTAAAATATTAATATAAGGAACAAATTATTTTATTATATTGCTTCCATTAATACATTTAAGGAAACGTGAATATTTTTCAATAAATGTAATTCCTTTTTAAAGATAACATATTGTAGCATAAGTATTCGAGAATATTTTTAGCATTCATTTGATTAGAGAAAGATTCTGATATGCCTATAATTTTACTGCATACCCGAATATAATACTCCAAATCATCATCCGTACATTTATTAGTCAGTTGAGAAAGCCTCGTACTTGGGGACATAAAAAAATCATCCAAATCGAACATTTCCAGACCTGGATTTGATAGACCTCTAAATCTTGGTGGTATTAAGGCTGGTCGTAGGACTGGCAAAGGAGCTTCAAATTTCGGTTTAATTATTTGCAGTTTCTCATGCATCATATTCAATTCTTTGTATGCTGACCAAACTCTCGAGACATGCCTGTTGTCAAACTGGTAAATCTTTCGTTGAAGCATTGCCATGGAATACGCAGACGTTTCTTCGCTGTTTTGCAGACAACTGTATGGAAAGTCAGAAAGCTCGGCAATATTCGGTATTAAGGCATAATCAGAAATATCCGGGCACTGAACGTCTGGTAGGTTGAGGTTTACAACTTTGTCAGTTAGAAAGTGGAAAATTATTTCCACCAACTTTAAATTATTCTCCTTACGAACGTAGTCATCAGTAAAAGCTAACGTTGAACCTAAAGCTATTATTCTGCCATCAGTTCTTGTATCTTGATAAAAAGCACATACAGGTCTACTGAACGGATAACATACATTTCCAGTAGAAAGTAGCACTACAGAATTTTTTTGCACATCCATAGAACAACCGAAAGGATATATAAATGGAAACAGTTTGTACCGTTTCTCCTTTTTGGTATATGGATATCCATGATATCCATCACTTAAAGCTGCATTAGCGATACTGTCCAAAATGAGGGCTTCTTTTGGGTAATGGTAAGGAGCGAAACGAAGAGTTCGAATCACAGAATCGTTACGGAACTCTATACCAAATTTCTTGAGAAAACTGTTAATATTGGATAAGTTTTTGCCCTCGCTTTCAGTTACTAAGATCTTTCCACCACAACTCATATATTTATCCAGATTTTGAAGTTCTCTTGTTTTCAGTTTTTCACTTGGTAGCATTAAAACAAAGATGCTGGAATAAGATAAACAATCTTTTGAAATCACTCCCTTGTTTACAGCAAGGTTATACCCTTTGGACTTCAGATGGCGGCACAAAACTTTAAGTTTCTCCATCATGAGTGGATTACTTTTTGAAATATTGAAGGTTACAATGTTTTTGCCTTTCTTATCGTCAGTTACTTCGGAGTTCGTCATTCTCTTGAATTTATGAAAGTCGAACCTACGAAGGTACGATTTCCCTGCTACAATTTGAGAAAGGCTTAGGTTTTTAAAATATCTTTGAGGAAGAAGATAAAATAATAATAACCAGAGGTTCTGAACATATTTTATGACACAGCTTGAAAAGAAATAAACATTTATGCAGATCTCGTGCCATATGATTTTGAGAGAAGTTTTTTAGTTTTTCTCGTTATATTTGATCCGTGCTTTCTAGCTTTCACACTAAAGAAATTTCCTTATTTTCTTATTTCTTATCTACATGGACGATAAGAATTTTTTTTACCGACATTTGACAATATTACATGCATTATTTCTTATCAACATTTCACAGCATTATTATCATTATATGGCATAAAGCACTTTATTTTAAATTTGTTTTAAGCGTATCAACAAGGCGAGCCGTTAAAAGATTATATTTCATTGTTTTTAGTGACAACAAGATTACTAACAGAACGTTTGATTTCGTGCAACTGTTCCCTTGAATTTATTTTGATACATTTCATACTAAGGATGTAATTGTTGACCGTGTGATCGTGATTTTCCTATAGCTCCTATTGTAACTTTTCAAACAATATTACTATTTTTCTGAGCATATTTTATGTTCTAGCGAAAAATAGCTAAATAGGGTGGCTTTATTACTTTATATAATTTAAATTTGAATTGTGTAAAAGGTTTTCCGTGAATTTAAAGCTGTATCCAGACAAAAGGGCTTTAAGTCTGAATTTTAAACAATGGCATCAACAAATTCGTGCGCCACAGTCATTTGTAAAGTAAACTGCAGTGTACTTAAACTTAATCATGTGTTATTCTTCAAAACAATTTTAATTCCTTGTACTAATAAAAGGAAATATTGTAATCTTGAAATATTTTGGGTATCATATTTTAACTAGAAGATACTGTTGCATGTATACGGGTTCGTTATGAATTGAATGCAGAAATCCGACGAAAAGATGAATAAAATTTATTATTATCACAACAAATAAAACAAAATGCTTAAAGTTTCTCAGATATTCGTACTATACTCCAATATCTCACAGTAGTTTAAACTGCTAAAAACGTTCAACAGAACTTAATTTAAAACAGAGAATCGCAGAGAAAGCTAATCCGAGTTCACCGCGAACTCACAAAAAAACTGAGCAAAGGTATTCTTTCTCTGGCTTTTATAAGCTTTTTAATTAGCACGAGCCTAGTCCGGTATTTTCTCGATTTTTCCCGAAAAGCAAAAGCGTTTAATTACGAGATACCTATTTATTAAATGCACGTGCTCCTGTATTTTTAATTTTTCAGGCGTAGCTTTCTCTTCAAATAAGTCGCGTGCAGTATTGCACGGAAAAATGAAACAATTTAATAACAATTCTATTAAAAATAGCAAACTAAATAAATCAGTACAAAACCCGTAACAGTACCCCCTTTCCAAGGCCTGCACGTCCCGGTCAGTACAATCCCCGAACAGGAAGCCAAGCTAACAACTAAGGCATAAATGCAATAATAAACATTACATTACAATTATAAACAACATAAACAATAAATGCAATAACCAACTTAAACGAATCTAATGCTGTCAAATATTAAATACAAATCAAATACTAAATACATGTCAAAGTAAATACACAGTTAGAAACAAAAAGGATCATGGTCTTACACTATTTATAATTATTTACACTACGTATTATGGCCATAGTAATGAGCTAACCTGTCGTAATGAAAGACTTTAGAGTTCGATGACTTACGGATCCGAACCACGACGTCATTCAGCCTGTTTAGGATTGTGTACGGACCATCTGAAGGTGACTGGAATTTGGGACTGAGTCCTTTCCGTCGAATCGGGTTCCAGAACTACACCTTGTTTCCTTCGTTGAATCAATGTCCAGTAGCTCTTGTGTCGTATCGGGTCTTCCCCTTTTCCGTCTCCAAGTTGACTCGCTCTCGCTCAGAACGGTGCATCACTTCAAACCGAGCCTGGACATCTTGTGTGAAAAATTGTGTCTTTCAAATAGTTGCAAATGTAAGTTATTATTTTGTTTATATTTTATTTTTATCTTTGAATAATGCGTGTGAATTTCATTTTTGTCGCATTTGTAACTGAGCGATTTTTTAGTAGTTAAGTTCTGGCAACCGTAAAATATTGCTAAGTTGTTCTATTCTGTTTTATTTTAAGAGTAATTATGCTGTGTTTTTGAGATATAAGAAGAAAAAGCATCTTTTTGTAATATTTAAAGATGCACATATTGAGTTTCGATGTGCTTACGTCTAATAAATGTGTTTTATCAAACAACTTGGAATGTTTATGAATCGTTATTGACTTTGAAGTATTTTTTAGAGGCAATTATTTGTCAACTGTCGTCCGCAAGAAAGGATTGGAACTGCAACTAAAGCAATTTGTTTTCATTATTTTTAAGTATGGAAGCTTTAAAAATAGCACGTAAGCAGCATCGTAGAGTATTGAATTTTATCAAAGAGAAAAAAATTTAAGTCACGAAGAAAAATTTTAGAATTAAGGGTTATTCAAGTGAAAGCAAAATTAATGATTTCAGCTGAAAACGATTTTAAGCAAGAGCTATTTAAACAAGTTATAGACGAAAAAAATTATCGAAAAAGAGGTTGATGAGTCAGAATCATATTTAGATAGATGGAGAAAGTTAGAATATAAGATGAATAAATTATTACAAGTGTCAGATCAGAAAACTTCTGCTTTAAGCATACGATGTGCGTCAATTTCGCAAATTCCTAATCCAATGTTACATTATCCCAAGATAAATTTATCAACATTTAATGGTGATTTAAAAAATTGGCTTAATTTTTGGGAACAATTTAAGAAAATTGAGGTACTTTTTCTTTTTGCCGACGCAGGCAATAAAGCCGCCAATAATGGTACAAATGACGCCAAACGGAAAATCCTCGCTGGTAACATTTACGCCTCATTTTCAAAAAGTCGCAGCCATTTCTTATCAGATTGACTATTTCTTTCAATACTGCATACAATTAGATAGAATTTTTACCAGATAGTTCAATTTTGTGTCCTAAGGCCATTCTCGGCAATTAAGTCAATTAGGATGCAATCACACCGCTCACTCGAAGGCGGAAATATAGAAAAGGGAAAGTCAAGGGTTAAATTCATTAATTCTAATGAGTAAAGCACTGCGGTTACTAGCGAAGCGAAGTAAAGCACTGCTGTTTTACATAAGTTCTGAGTAAGCAATTCGTACGAATTGAAATAATTCTTGCATTGCAAATGAAGATTTAACTTGAAATTAATGTAGATAATTACTGAGAGAATTATATTTTTGTAGCGAAACTATAGTTTGCGTGAGATGAGATCACTTGGTATCACGTGATATGAACCAGAGAATAAGGATGTTGAACCATGAAAGCATAGTAAATTCTTAAATTAATGTCTTTTTACGAATTTACTGTCTTTATTTATTGGCTTTTTACAAAATTTTAAACGATATTAAAATGTTTATGCCTTCAAAATAAAAAATTCTTAGAACTAACATTTGTTAACGTTTTTTTATGTGTATACTGTATGTTGTCGCCAATAAAGTTTGCTTGACGAGATTTGCGCCGGTGAAACGGAAAAGTACCAAAATTGATAAGGACCTAATATTGATAATCAAAATAAATTTACATATTTATCCCAGCCATGCAACAAGGTTCTGTTGCAGAAGAATTAATTAAAAGTTTCCCTCCAAGCGGCGAAAATTATGAGAAAGCTGTAAAACAATTACATGCGCGTTTTGGAAAAGATGAACTATTAATTCAAGTTTATGTAAGACATTTATTGGCTTTAATACTTCAAAACACACTAGGGTGTTCTTTAAGAAAACTTATGGCCTGTTGGAATCTAAGCTTCGTTCTTTGTAAGTTCTAAGGGTTACTAGCGATAAATATGCAGCCATGCTTTTTCCTCTTTTTGAGTCTTCTTTGCCTGATGAGACACTTAGAGCGTGGGAACATTATCGAGCAATTAATCATACATCTGGAGATTTAAATCCACAATCCGGGGAAAATTATGAGCAGTCAAAAAAAATCGAGAGAAGGGATCTAGATTATTTACTTGAATTTCTTCAAGATAAAGAAGAATCGGAAGAGCGAATATCTCTAGCTTCCCAAACATTTGATCAAAAAGAAGCCAGGAAAATATGATAACAAATGCAGTGTTAAAATACCTTTTGAAAATAAAATCAGGAGTACTAAATCGAAATTTGGCAAACCATAGCCTGTTCTTAGTACTTCCGAACTGTTTAAATCAGCCCAAGGGCAAAAATTATGCATATTTTGTTCAAATCCTTATAATTCTTGGGATTGTAGGAATGCAAAAAATATACCTTTAAATGTGAGAGAAGCTATTGTTGGGAAATCGCGTTGATGCTTTCTCTGTCTGAGACATGGACATCGAGTAATGAAATGTAATGAGAAATCGAGTTGCGTACTGTGTGAGAAAAGACATCATGTTCTTCTGTGCAGAAATATAGCAACAGTAAGTGCACAACATTTTAATAAAAAGGAAACTCTGTTAAAACTGATTTAGAAAGAGATCAGGCACTTGCGAATGTATCAAGTGCACCTAATCTTAGGTTACAAACATTAACTGTGATTTTAAGATGCAATTGTAAAAAGCATAAAGCTCGAGAAATTTGATTCTGCTTCTCAGAGGTCTTACATTTTGAGTAAACCAGCTAAAGGGATGGGGTACAAAGCCTTAAGAAATGAATACCTTCAACATTCACTGTTCGGAGGAAGTAATACTAAAATGTATAAAAATGATGTGTTCATTTTATATTTATCATATATGAAGTGTACATATAATTGTCATTTCGACGCATTAAGCCAACCTGCAATATGTGATACAATGCCACTAGTAGCATCGAAATTGTGTCTAAAAGAACTTGCAGACTTAGTCATTTATCCTGCAATCAGGCATGTGGGCCTATTGAAATTTTAATTGGAGCTGACATATCAGGGAAGTTGATGACTGGCGGTTATAAACTTCTACCCAGTGAGCCCCAGTGAGCAGCCACTGAAACAAAACTAGCGTGGACGATTATAGGTCG